GAGATGGACACATTCTGGGAGAGAGATTGCTGTAGGTGATTCAGAGGGACAGATAGTCATATACGACGTGGGAGAGGTACGTATACCGTGTATTGTGCCAAGTACGTCACTAGGCACGGTTCTTTGACTTTTATTTAGCAACTTGCTTTTAACTTTTTTTCCTCTGTGATTAGAGGAATGAGGTTTTTATTTCCAAATCCAAGTTTCATGTTTGTGTGTTTCAGGTATTGTAGCGTAACTTTTCTTAGCGTGCCATCTGGCAGCCAGTGAAAAAGTAAAAACATCATTGTAAGGCTGGTGAAATAAGATGAAAGAATCAATGATTTCGTTTGTAGAGGTTTGATCTTGTTTCTAGCTGTGGCACGTGGGAATTCTGACCTTGGCTGAGAAGTACCAAACAAAAAACCTTGCAGCGAAGCAGTCTTGACTTTGTTCCTACAGGGAAGCTGCTGTTATTGCAAGTATGTGTACTGCAGCAGGACGGAACTAATTGATTGCATGGGGACACGGCATTAGGATTGCCCTTGGAGGCAGTCTGTCAGATGGAGAGGTTGCAACAGTGTCATTCCGTTCTTAAACGCAGGATTCTCATATTCCGCTGCTTTTGGTAGCTAGAGCCTTTGGTGTTCAGACTGTTTTAAAAGTTGCACTAAATAAAAGTAAGCTTTTATGTCGGAACCTCTTCTGAATACGACTTAAGCACTCTGCTGCTCAAAATGAGCTCAGTTTTTATTTATCAGTAGGCTTAAACACCATTGTTTTTGTCAACAGCAAATCGCCGTTCCTCGCAGCGACGAGTGGACTCGGTTTGGTCGGACGCTGGCAGAAATAAATGCTAACCGGGCTGATGCAGAAGAGGAAGCTGCAGCCCGCATACCCGCCTAGGCGGTCAGCAGTAGGCAGCGGCGGTAGGCTGGTGAAGGATTTGATGCAAGCGTAAGCACGTGTCGGTTCAAAGAGTAGCATAAGGGAGGAACGTGTGGAGTCAGCTGTGGGCTTTGAAAGAGTATTAAGATCGCTGAAAATCAGATCTTGGGTTGTCATGTTTTATATACGATTACAAGCACATTCTTGGATTTGTGTAACTTTTAATACAGTTAACTCTGAATTTGCAAGGAGCTGCTTTTGCTGAAGCACTAACCTGGTGTACATTTGCTAATGGGCTTCTGAGATTTCCACTTTGTAACAGTATCTACTTCTGAAAGTAAAAGTTCTGTTTCTAAACTCAACTTTCTATATTACCCAGACTAACCTTCATTAGGTAGTAAATCCCTGAAGCATTCTTTAATTTGAACTCTACCAACTAGCCATGGCTATGCATGCTGATGTTCCACCTAAGTTTCATTGTTTATATAGAGATAGGCCCCAGACTCTGGCAGTGGGTAATACATGTGAATACCAATTTGTCTGTAGTTACAAAGTTATTTGATAATTGGACCTGAATTAATGAAATACATATTTAATACCAAGTTCCTTTGTTTGAATTGGTGCATTAAAAGGTGAGACTGATTGATAAATAAATATTGTATGAGCACTTGTCAGCTGCCCTGACCCCTCATCTGTCCCTTCACTAGTTTGAGAATAGAAAGGTCCTGGGAGCTGCTGCTTTCATTTCGCTACACAAATCAGGATTGTTTTCTACCCCCGGCCTCCACTTACTGCCATGGCAATGAGCCAGAAGGAAAAAGGCCACTGTTGTCAAGATTTTCATTTCCAAAGCATCGGGAACTCGATTTTTCCTTAATTGCTATGGCTTGACGATTTGCATTCTGTTAACCACAGACTTGCTACTAATTTTCCATATTAAGTTGAAGAAAGATGTCTTTATTGCACTTTAACTTTTTTATTGAAACAAAACCTATCGATGGCCTGAACAGAATGGTTGGAATTTCGGTTAAAGGTTACATTTTTTGAGTACATCTTTCTTAGGACATTTTAAGTTGCCCATCAAGGGGCAGGGGGGAGGCTGCATTGTTTGGGTTTTGGTTTGTATCTTAAACATGCTACAAGCTTATCGCTTCGCCAGGAGAGCTCGTTTATATGTTTAAAAGTAGTAAATAGGTTTATATTCCTTCATCAGCTGTATGCCCAGAAGTGTTCTTACTGTTTCTTCATTGTTTGTGATTTAAGGTGTGTGTGTGGTTTTCCTACTTCTCCTTAAGGTCTCAGTTGTGTTACAAGCAGCTCGTAAGGACAGAGGCAGCAGTAACAGCACTTCTGTCTTCAGGAGGTTCTCTTTCGGTGGGTTCGAAAGGGAAGTGTATTTGGGCTTCTCGGAAGTCCCACTTCTTCTCTGTGCAAAGTCATGCTGTTCAGTTGGACACTTGCCTTCTGTGTTTTCCTCAGCCTTACGGGGGCAGCTATCTGTGCAGCTGAGAAACACATGAACTCTCTAAAGAACAGGCCCATCTTGTGATTTTTACCCTTTAGGCACAAGAATTCTTAACAAGGAGTGTTCTGTTGTCTGGGGTTTTTTAGTAATTCTCAACAAAACTAGTCTGTATTCACTCCTGCTTGTGTTCCTCCCTCACTCTAGCTGAGTGCAGGTGAAAAATGTTGTGAGGCCCGTACCTGCAGCATCAGGAGAACAAGGGCGAAGCTAGATACTGTGACGGATCATCCCGGGAGCCATGCTGTCCAGCTTTGGTGCTGTAAGACACGCAGATGCTGCCTTGCACAGTGAAGCCCCCCAAGGCCTTGATCAAGTCAGTCAACAAGCTGGGACTAAGATTAAACACCAGTGGGTACCGACCATTTTTGTATCTGTTTAGAAAAGTGCAGAACAAAATACACAGATGTGGGGGAAGAGTTCCCAGGAAGCCTATCTCTGGAAAACTGCACGGAACAGGTGATTCTTTAAAGAGAACAAAAGGAGTAGACAGGAAGCCTTCTCGTGGGGTTATGTGTATGTAGGTAGGTATGTGGCAGAAGAGTGATCACCCCCAGGTTGAGTGTATCGTAAGCTCTAGCTCACTATTATTCAGCACCAACAGATGGTGTGCCTGGAGGCTAGAACTGAAGGAGGACTCGTCTGTGTTTATAGCTTTCAGTTTTTAAGTTGATTCCTCATCAGCTGACTGAAAGTCCTGTCGGCCTGCTCTCACCTGAGCAAGGCAGTCGCAGAACCCCCAACTGGTTTATACTGCTGGATATGCTGCTCCAGGACGTTTAACCCCGAGAGAAACAGGTAGGACTCGAGCTGGGAGGCTGTCACGCTGCCGTGAGCAAGGCTAGAAACCCTCCCGTCTCTCCTGGCTGTAGGGGTGGTACAGCTACCTTTCCTCCCGTGCTGCAGCCATCTAGACTCCCCCTGTCCTCTGACCTTTTGGCACTTAACAATTGCACCAGAGAAACTTCTGGCAGACATTAAGCCAGAAACAGTTCAAGCTTTCCCTTTCTCCTCTCCTTTTACGTAGCGTTCCACTCAGCTGGAAGTCTTAAGCATCAGTTATGCATATAAAAAGAATACAAAAGTAAGGCTGGGTTGGGTTTTTTGGTTTTTTTGGTGGTGCGTGTTTTTTTTAATTCCCCAGAACAGCCTAAGCTTTCACTGGTAAAACAAGCTGGAAATAAAGAAAATGCCTCCCCCCCCCCAATATATATAAAAAATTTCCCATTCTGGGAACAAAGTACCCAGAGTGATAAATCCTGTAAAAATTCTTGAGTCTGCTAATAACTGGCAACTACCTCTGTGTGTTAAATATGCTACCACAGAGGTAGGATCTACTGCACATTTAGTCTTACCATGGGCCCCGAGGGCACCCCTTGGTACCAGGTAGTGCTGCAAAATAAACCAGTGCCTGCACTCATCCCGTTCCTGTCTCCTCTTCAGCTTACAGGCCAGCACGCTGCATTCCAACGGCCTCGCTGAAAGCAGCAGGGACGCGCATTGCGTCAGAGGCCGTGTCTTGTACTGGGCTCTCATGGCATGGCTGCAGCTGATCTTTAACTTCCGATCTGTGGAGGAAGACAAAATACATCATGCCAGACAGCTCGTCTGTGAACACAAAGGAGTGAGCTGACCGACGTGTTTTTACGTACTTTATTGTCACAGTCGTTAACAAAACAAACGCCTTCAAACCATTCTGTACATTTCAAACCGCTTCGAGCTGCAGGACCCGTCAGATAAACGTGGGGATGCCGCGGTGTCTCTGTACAGAGATGTACAATATGTACAGTAACGTGAAGCGCGCACGGTGCGAGGCAGAGTCTAGGCTACGGATTCATGCCGCCGGTTCAAACAAGGCATAGAAACTCAGCTTCAGTCACTTCCTTGTGTGCAGGTGAACAAATAAATGCAGGTACGTGTTACTATTGGAAAGGAGTAATTGGGTTTGCAAGCTCAGTTCAGCCAGAACAACATGCAGCTGACTGGAAAAAATACAGTACTACTCGTGTGAACTTGCACAGCATCGCTCTGTTGGCTGGAAAACCTTCTCGGGATTCAGCTGCTGCTTTTTGCCTGAGCTGAGGTGATGCCGGAAGACCGAAACTTTGGAAGATACAAACCAAATTTGTTTTCTATACCGGCAAACGTAGCTGTAGCAAGCCTGTATCCACCTATGTGCTCGGGGTTAACAGGAGGAAGGTCTGAAATGCGAGTTTTTGGTGTAGGTTCTGATCCAGAAGGTTTGCTGTTTGAAGAAAGAAAAAGAAAAGAAGCCTTTCCATTATTTAAAGTGTTTTCTTAAGCCTGAACAACCCTACAAAATCTAGACTGACTTTTCTCTGAGTATGGAAGACTGTTAAAGCTGACCTTAAGTAATTCCCTTCTGTAGTCAAGTAAAGTTGAGCTCAGAACACTCTTTAATGGGAAATCAAGGCCAGAACCGATGTTATGTTTTTAGAGAGCCTCGTTAACTCCTTTTAACTTCCAGTGACACGGGGAAAATGGACAAAATACCTTGCTACACTGGAAATACAAATTTTATGTCACGTATTAAAATCAGTGAAAGGGCTGTTTATCGCCTCATCTCTCTGGAAGCAGCATGCACGTTTCTCTGTTACATAGGGATGGGGGAGCTTTTCCCATGCTGCGGTTTCAAGTACAGGTGCTCAAGGTCACCAAGTTTCAGTGGTCATGCGCAGGAAGAAAGTAAGGTGGTGGGCTTGGTTTTTTTTTTTTGTTTTAACTTGGCAGGATTTTGTGCAAGCCGAAAAGCAAGTATTGGACTTACAGGCCTCCAAAATCGACATAAAACCATCGCTGCAGAAGTTCGTAAGTGACCAGAGTGACACCAAACTGGGGTGAAGATCTGAACACACGGGCTGTTAAATATTATAAATCACAGGGTCAGAGAAAATAGCTTCTCAGGAGACAAGCTAAACATGCTTAACAAGATGCTGTTTTTCAGAATCAGACCTTGTAACTACTGCTCTCATTCAAGTCCTTAACAAAACAAGTGCTAATTTGCAGATTCAGGGTCAGCCTTGATATTCGGGGTGTATTTCTCACCTCCAGCTCCTTTCCAAAAAGCCGACGGGCCTTCTTCCCTCAAGATCTTGCCAAAGCAGTCAATAACTCCGCTGTATGTTGTCTGCCCGGCGCGAGCTGCCACTTGCAGTCTTGTCTTGATGACATCAGCAGGGGTTACCAAGGAAGCAGCAGGCACACCTTTTAGAAGAAAACCACATTTAATTTGCAGAAAGAATCCTCTAAAAGATGAAACTGAAAAATACAACTGTGAATTTTAGTATTTTTTGAAAGAATTAGACGTTGCTAAAAATGCAAGTTCTTACACTTGATGGCAATATCAACTGCTGTGCTTGGTCTAATCCTTTTGGGCTTCTTCTAAATTTAAAGGCTGTAACTGAGAGTAAAGGAAATAATAAACTATCAACAGCAATTCTCTCCACCCCTTCCAGTGGCCTGTCACCACCAGCAGCTTCAAACAGGTACAGATTTTAACTTCACACACACACTGTGCGTGTAGCAAGAGAGAACCACGACAAAAATGAGGCGTGCGACTACCCTACCTGCTCGTGCTCCACGGCACGTTTCGCAGCTCACACGCGCGATCGAGTTGGGAATGGAATCCTATACATCCGTTTGTTAAAGGTGCTAATAACAAAGCTGCTAGTTAAAACGCCTCTTCTACAGAAATACGTCTGTGCTGCTGTTGGGGCAGGGGAACAGATGCGGCTTACTTCAGCAGGCAAGCCATCAACAGACCGAGGGCAGTTCTACAAGTCTGCTTAGTACCAGCAGCGATGGAAGAATAGATCTCCAGTTCCAAGGCCCCACCCTCAGCTTTCCAGTCAAAGGAAAGGAGAAGGTTTTCAGAAGGGTACTCCACAGTCTGTAACTGTGTTAGCGGAGGTATTTCTGAATACTGAAAAAATGTCAACCCCTTAAAAAGAGGAACCATCCTTCTGACTTTGCATTTTGAAATCGAGTTTTACTTCTGTTGAACTTCTAAAATTGGTTACTGAATTAAAAGTTTAACAAGGCACTGATTTGCAGAGGTGACCATAAACTCCGAAGCGTCGCCGATCGATTCAGGAGGTTTTAGAGGCAAACAGAGGCAACGTCGATAAGCCTACGAGCCTACACCAGCAGCAACCGTACGGAGATTTTCCTCTATGGCAGATATGGTCAGACTGGATTCCTCCCTGCTCCACCTGCCTAACAGCAACCGATCGAGTAGCCGGGAACGGGACATTTGCAGTTGAGAAAGGCAGGTTGCTGTACGTGCCACAAACTAGGGCTACGAGATTGACAGGCGTTTCGGACAGGGTGCGCCGCTTTGTGTGAGCGACCCAGAAGCACCAACCAGAGAAACGAAGAGACTGTGAAGTCTGCGATCTAACAAAAAAACAGTGAGCCTTATACCAGATACAAGGTAAATAACAGTACTTACATGTGCTTCTGTGAGCTGCAGAATTTGCCGTTTCTGGCAGCTCTGCCTTACTTGAGATTAAGCAGGGTTGCAACTGTGTGCTAGTTTCCGAGCTGGTCCCCCTCTGGCACGAGGAAGGTACCAACTGGCAAAGAGCAGGTGCAGCCAAACAGCACGGGAACCTGCCCTACACAGCGACAGCTCACGACGGATGTACAGACAGCGATTCCTTTTGACTCTGACAAGTAACGAGGGCTCTGTTCAGGCCAGTGATGCTTCTCAATAGCACAGATTCCAACATCGAATCACTCACGATGGAGAGGCTGCAGGTAGCTGGTTTCATCCTACTGATCTCATCCTCGGCAGCGCAGAATCTGACCACCTGTATCTGCATCTTTAAATACCCACTGCTACAGTTCCTACATAGAGTATTTTTATACCACTTGCTGTTTAGTGAAAACGAGCTTCATATTCTCTTTATACTAAACATTTCTGAGAAGCCTTATAGCATTTTACACTTCGGAGTACAATAGTTTAACCTCAGCTTCTTTGCAAACTAATGCCCTGCTTTTAGCAGTTACATTTGAACAAAGTTTCCTGTCAGATGCTCAGGAATCCAAAACTAGGCAGGTCATTTTCTTCCTCTCTCTTATGGTATCTCATTTTATGTTCATCAAAGATTCAAATTAGCCTTCAACTCTGAGAGCACAGTAACAAGTAAAACCCCGTGGAGACAGACAGATCAAATTTGACTAGAAGTTGCTGAGCTGCATTACGCTGTTTATCCACATTATGCAAATGCAATTAGCTCTCATCAAAATTACATCGCCTCCCACCAAGGATAACAGTGATCAAAGTTAGATTAAATCAGATACAATGGTACATACCCTTCCTTTATATGGGGCTACTGAATGAATATTTAATGTTACTGAAAGAAAAAAAAAGTCACTTCTAGAAACCATCCTGCAAAATTACCTGCGATGGCTCCAGCTGCAAGGAGATTAAGCCCTCCCACATGGCCATGTTCATCAGCAAGCATCAGTTTACTGTGAGCATAAACAGGGAAGTAGATTGCAGAAAAGGGAATGTCTCGGAGGAAACATGCTTTGGCACCCTGTCACACCGAAAAAGAGACATAATACAAATAAATTTTGTAAGTAAGGTTAAAATTGAAGCCCAGCAAGCAGTCTGAGGCCAGCAAGTACCAACACTTTTGATCTACAGAAAATAAAATGTCTCAGGAACAGAAGATGTGCAGCTGAACTTGAGAACGCAGCACACCTAAAGTAGCTTCTAGGATGAGGAAGACTCAAGGTTCACTCTGAGCTCAGGAAGCAGTACGTGGCATCGACCCTGACATCAGCACCCGGGATAAATACCTTTGACACGTGATGCGTCCAGATGCCATGAAGAAAGCAACAGCTCTGTCCTTACATCTTGCTGACCACGACCCACCACCACAAAGCAGCAAGACAGTCCTTGCATGCCACTATTTCCATCAAGCACAAAAGCACCACTACAATACAATACAGCACTACTACAGTCCCTGGAAGTGTTCAAGGCCAGGCTGGATGAGGCTTTGAGCAACCTGGTCTAGTGCAAGGTGTCCCTGCCCATGGCAGGGGGGTTGGAACTAGATGGCCTTTAAGGTCCCTTCCAACCCTAACCATTCTGTGATTCTAACACCCGTGAGGGCTGCAAGACCTCACAGTGATCTCCGCTGGTCCTCCTCTGGTTGACTGAAGGAGCTGCACTGGAAGACCAGCAAAAAGAGGGAAAATGCCACAAAATGGGAGTCTTTTAGTCAAGGGAAGACATAGGGGGACAAAACTAGTGGCCCATTGTAATACCTCAAGGAGTAGCTCCTGGCCAGGACCTGGCATTAGGGAGTTCCTTTACAGAACTTTGCATGCTGTCGGAACAGCAGTATACTCGTAATAGAGCGTATCTGATCTTCTTCCTTCTAGTAACTTCAGTCATCAGTCCGTTACCGACCAGGATAACTCCTCGGGTACAAAGCTGGGACAAGCACCTGCATGTCCACAGATCTCGGGCGCACACGGGAGACAATGCCGCAGCACCCAGGCAGGGCCCAGGGGTGCTCCGAGCCAGCAGCCCGCTGGATGGACCCACCTGAGGGCAGTCACCCCCGAGGGACATCAGTGGTCAGCGCACGCCACAAACCCCGCGTGGCTTAAGCGGGAGATCGGACAGAGACCCATCCCTGCAGTGATTTTCACACAGATACTTTATGCTCTAAAATGAATTCTTAGTTATTCACAAATGGTAACGCAGTGCTCAAGAACAGCAGCATTTTTAGTAAGCTCAGCTGTTTCATTACTGCAAGAAGAAAAGTCCCACGTGCCAGAACAGCCGTGATCTTTAGGAAATGCAGTGCTCGTGAATCTCATCTGGCGATTCACAACAAAAGCGTCGGCTCTGAAAGCAAATCTGCACTTTTTTATAGTATTATTGCAGGTCTGTGGACAAATGACAGAAAACGTCGTTTCGTAAGCGTGCGGCGAATGTAACTGCTGAATTTACGTAGTGCCCCTTGCGCTGGCAGAAGATACAAGGAGAAACACTCTTCCTTGTTTAAGGAAACTAATAGCTTCTGCTCCATTACCTCTGATCTGTAATGATGGTAGTAAGTACACCTGCAGGGAGGGAATCTGTTGACTGGCATTCTGCTGCATACAGTACAGTACAGGCTTTTTTTAGCGGAATTCATTATTGACAAATCCCACCACTTAACTTCTTAAAAATCTGAATCCTACTAAACTCCACTACTGTTTCACTGCTGTCAAATTAATAAGACAAAGAGGATATCCTGCTGCAAAGATAACAATAGAGATAACAGACTCAAATGTAAGAAAAATGCACAGGGAAAACTAAAGAAACTTTTTACAAAACCCCACCAGACGAAATGATCTGCTAGAAGCCAGCAGGTCTGCAATACAGGGCTCCCTGTCGTTTGGCATAAAAGCCCAAAGGATAGAATGGGGGAGTACTTTTTGTATCCCACTGCCATTAATATAGAAGTGGGTTTTCTTCAGTTTTCCACTGTGGGGCTGCCCTGCAGGAAGAGATTGGTTTGAAGTTCAAAAGGTTTCTTTGTTTTTAACGGGTTTTGTTTCAACAAGGTAAAAGTTCAGCGTAAAACATGAAATCATGAAGCCACTCCAAGCAGAAAGACATACCTTATACAGACCAAGAAGGCCTAAATCCTTTATAACAGAGAGGGCACTGACTCTGGGTCCTGTGGTAATTTCTCCTGCTACCTGCAGCCGAATCTTTACAATCTCCAGTGGGTTAGTGAAGATGACCTGGGAAGCTCCTGCCTGCAAACCCGAAGAAAAGGAAAGTAAATTGCGTTACTAGAGCACGTGGCGACAGGTCGACGTTGGCGAGGTGCTGAGTGCCTGCGCTCCTCGCTGCGCTCGCTGATGCTCTCATGGGAAAACATAAGAGGGTTATTTACGGAAGCACCTGTTGGAAGTTAAAAGCCCCCAACCAGAAACCATGGGTTTGTATGAAACGAGCAACGTCTACACGTTTATAGTCCACAGAGGTGGATCCCTTCCATTTGTCTCTGCTTTTCTCCTTGTCGTGGTTTAACTCCGG